GCTGAATCTTCCTCATCATCGCCCACATCCCGTGGTGGCGCGCTAATCGCGTCATTAGCCGGCACAGACTCCAGTGAACTCCGACGATTCCTCTGCAACGGGTTCGGGTTTTCGGCAGAACATGTCTTCTTCTGCTGCTGCTTACCTCGAAGGAACGCATCTACTTCAAACTCAAGCTTTTCCAACACATGGCCATCGCCATGAGTTGAGTTTCCCGTCTCTAATCTCATCTGCATCCTCTCATCGAGCCATGATTCTGCAACATGTAAGATCATCTGATCTCGTTCCTCCCGTCCTGCCCAGTCTTTATCCAGTTTCTGCTTCAACGTTCGGATTTCCCGTTCATAACTCTTAATCCCTCTGGCAAACTCATCACACAGACCCTCCAGCATCTTCCTCGACTTCGCCTCTCTCTCGAGCTCCTTCATGCAACTCGACAGCGTTGTCTTTACTTCCGACAGCTCCCTTGCCAATTTCCTGTGCAAACCCTCAGATCGTTTTCTCAGCTTCCTCTCGTCTTCCAGCTCTTCCTTCACTGTCTGAACGGCAGAACTTATCCGGTCATGTTCCTTAGTTTTCCACGACAGCTTATCCTCAGCGAGTTGCTTCATCAGATCATCGAGCTCGTGCCTGTCGGCTTGCTGGTCTCTGAGAAGCTCTTTGATTCGGACACGTGCATGAGAAAGCTCGGTTTTGAGAGCTTTTATAAGGGAAATATTAGCGGAATGCTGCTCCTCAAGGCTCCATATTCGGTTTAATACCTTAAGAAGTTCGGTTGACGTCTTGAGATTGTAGTGAGGCTCACCAGCCCGTCTTCCCCGAAACTCTAACAAACTGCTTGGAGTTACTGCCGGATTATACGGAGCCATCTGCACGATGTATTCTACATCAATAAAAACCCGAAATGCTAACGAATCCCGGGCATCTGCAACCTATATAAACATACATCATGCACAAGAAGACGATGACCAAAGAAGGGAAGTGGTGATTACCTCGAGGGAACTGTCGTAACTAGCGGGGGATACGGGTTGTAAAGCTCGGTTATTTCTTTCAACCAGCTGATGATGTTTCATCAGTGTTTGAGCTATATGTCTCCTTAGACTTCCCGCACTCTCTGGCTGGGACACGGGAAAAGTTTCGAAGATTTAAAACAGCAGAAGCTAAAAGGATCAAACCCGAAACAGATTGTAATAACAGATTATGAATATCCAGAATGTAAGAGAACGAGTTCATACGCAAAATATCAAACAGTGCTGTCCTTAGCTACTACGGTTTCAAGCCGGAAACCTGAGAAGAATTACTGCATTCCGACCTTTACCGGAGCTGATACGAAAATTCAATATTGACAACTTAACAACGCCAAGATTCTAAATTTTCACTTTCAAAGCTAACAAACCAAGAACGGATCAATCAAGGCAGACCATGAGTTTCACATCACGGGTTCATCAAATAAGAAATCCCAATTTGTATCAACACCCAAACCCTAGAACAATCATTTCTGGGGGAGTAAAAGCAGTATTTCATCATTATTCACGTCGCAAATTCGAACTTGAACAAAACCCATATTCTAAACCAATCTATCCTCAAAAAATTCAAACTTTAACAATACCCAAATCCTGAACCAACCAAGAATGATACTAATCTATCGTCCAAAAAAGCTTCGAACTTTAACAAGGCTCAAATCTTAACGCTATCACTCCCAGGCCAGATCAAATACACCAGAAACAGAGCAATCTAGGACAATTCCACCAGTTCATCCGCAACTCATGTCCCCAAAATCCAAAAGAAGGGCAAAAACCCCAGCACTAACCATTACTAAAACACATACACATAGAACGAGAGAGATAAACCTGATGATCAGGAGAGGCGTCAGGCAGAAAGCGAGAGACATCAAGACCGGCGTCCCTAAGCACGGCCTTGCCATGGCCATGCCGTTGGCGGCGGCTACTAGTAGTGGGGTGCATCTTAGCAGGAGAAAGACGGTGGTCGTAGTGATGGTGGAACTCCCGGAGAGGAAAGTTGGGAAGAAGGGTAAGGAAAGATGCTAATGTGCGCCGGGATGGAAAGTCGCCGATTCCTGTAATATGATTAATGGCCTATCAACGACACAAATTTTCCTCAACTTTTCCACCAATCTCTCTCTCTCCCCCCTTCCCTCCTCTCCCTCTTCATCATCCTCCTTCAATTTCATTTCTTTTAGCCGAAAAAAGTTTCCACTTTTTCCTTTTTTTATTGTTTTTTTCAATGTATCACTCTCTTTTCTCTCCCTGTAATCATGATTCATTGTCTCTCTCATGTTTTTTCGTTTTTTCACCTCCGGGGTGGAGTGTGAACCTTGGATTCTTGATGTGAAGTCTCGGAGAGTCTTCAATGGCTGCAAGCAAGCAGTAGATGTTGCTTCAATCACAAATACTTGGGTTATTGTGCCAGTGTAATAAGAATATATAGCTGGAATGCTAGGAAGGTGAAATTAGCCATTAAAAAAAAAAAAAATGAAAATCAGGCCATGTTAGTTCAAAACGATGTCGTTCATGAGCGTATTTGGATAGCGAGTGTCGGTTCTAGAGAGAGGAGAGAGAGATGGCGACTGCGTCGTTTAGGTGGATCCTGCAGCTTCATAGAGACGTACCGAAGGCAGCTCGATTCTACGCGCAAGGTCTCGACTTCTCCGTCAATGTCGTCACTCTCCGCTGGGCCGAACTCCAATCCGGTCCTCTCAGGCTCGCTCTCATGCAATCTCCCCGGTACTTGTCCCTATCTTCGTCAATGCCGACCATATGTTCGATCATTTGTCTCTGAGAAAAGTTCTCTGTTTTGTTTTACCAAATTCCCCGCTTGATGAAATGCGATTCATGGGTCGTCGAGAAATTGCTTCGTATTGTTTGTTCATTGCCCATTTTTGTTGTTGGACGCCGAATCTAATTATGTGCTTTATGGAGCTGTGGAGATTTTCTGCTCGATCGTGTGCTTCGATGAATTTCTTCTGGGTTTGTGTCTGTTTTCCTTTTCAGTGTCCTATTTGGTTAAATGTTGCTTCTGTGTCTTGGGGAAATATTTTGTCATCATTGGATGTTCGTTGTTTTATATAGCAAATGCTTATGTGATGATTAGCGTTAACTAATGACTGATTAGTCGTTAATCGGTTTGTTACGATTATAGGAGGAGGACCTGCACGTAAATCGTCTGTTTTCAGAGATTCCATTTTCCAACAACAGAAATCAGTTACGATTTTCCCCTCGTTTTCTCTCTCTTTCCCATCACTTTCTCGCCCTCGCTTCAGAGAAGCTATGATGGCAGTAATGCATTTTCCGCTCTCTGCTCATCTTTGATCTCGGTTACGAACTTCTTCTTCTTCTTCGTCTCTTCGCATCCTCTTCATTTGACCTAGTTTCATCTCGTCTGATCACCGAAGATGAGTTCTTCATCGATTCCTTCTTCAGCTTCTGGAAATACACATGTCGATCCATATGGAAATCCGTACTACCTTAGAGAATACGATCATTGCAGTCTTCTGTTGGTTGAAGATCGTCTCACAGGACATACTGATTTTAATTCCTGGAAACGACGGATGGAAATAGCGTTGATATCCCGAAACAAGCTTGGATTCGTCGATGGTACTCTTCCTCGACCACCGGATGGTCATCCTGATGCAGGTACATGGTCTAGGGTTAATGAAGTAGTGTCATTTTGGGTAATGAACTCTGTTTCGGAGAAGCTTGCTCCGATTATCTTATACAAGGATTCTGCTCAAGCAATGTGGGAGGACTTGCACAGTTGTTTCGGACCGAATGTTCAACATCTTTATTGGCTACACCAGAAACTACATAATATCAAGCAGGGATCTAATGACCTTCAAACCTATGACCTTAGTCTGCGCGCAGTGTGGGAGGAGTATAAGTACTGTACCACTACTCCTGTTTGTTCATGTGGCAAATGTGAGTGTAACGTCGAGAAACGTTGGATGGAATTCATGGAAAGGGAGTACCTGATGAAGTTTCTGATGGGATTGAATGATTCATACAGTGCTGCCAGAACACGGATTCTCATGTCAGATCCACTGCCCGGAAGCACTGAAGCCTTCCGCATTATTGCACAGGAAGAACAGCTGAGGCTGATTAAGCCAAAGGTTGCTTCAGAAGCAGTCAGTTTTCAGGCTGGTGTTTCCTCTGCTGCACATTGTTCTGGGGACATAGTTGATGAAGCTATCACCAATTACAGACCCAAACAAAGGCCTATATGTACACACTGTGGCTTGCTTGGACACACTATCAATCGCTGTTACATGTTACATGGATATCCTCCAGGTTATAGATCCCCACCACAAGGTTCAGGGCATGTTTCCACGCCAAGATAAGCGTCTCAGTTCCAGAAACATCAACCTCGGGTGCCACAGTTTCAACAAAGTCTACTTCCTCTCAGTCGGTTGTCTCAAGCTTCATTTCGGTCCTCGTGCAGACCATGGCCAAGGAGTCACTTGTCATGTCTTCTTTGGCATATCTTTGTTTGTTGGATTGCACAAGTTTAAACCTAGATTTCTCACTTGCACTTTTCTTTTTTGTTGGAGTTTAACTACATGTGTGATGGAATTGTGGGGAGCTTTTGTTTGATCATTCGTGCATGAGACCCTCATCTTGTGTTTCCTGATTGATTGCCAATGCTGTTTTCTATTTGTCGTGGTTTGTTAGATTGATGGAAAGTGGTCTCCGAATCACATCCAGGAATTCGTATTTTGTTTACTGCTTCCTTGGACGTGCAATGTCTATCGTTGATTGGGAAATTCAGGTGTTGAGTATCCAGTTTCGTGGCTGCGTTTCTGATATGTTGGCGTGATACCCATCTATTTAATTTGAAGAATTTTGATACAATACAACAATGGCATAGCTTAATTTGCTATCCATAACTGAAGATAACTTGGATTTGCTTTGGTGGTATTGTATTAGACAGATGAAATCTCTGTTTCTCGACTATAAAGAACATCTGGAATATATAAAGTTGCTCTTTTTATTTGTAATATCTGCTGACAAGACTAGCTGGCAACAACGTTTTTCAGCGATCATGTTGTCGAGAAGGGATACTCTTCGCTCCTATCCTTCACGGTGACGGACATTAGTACAACAGTGACGAAACTTATGGCGTTAGGAGCAGAACTGGATGGCCCTATCAAATACGAGATTCATGGAAAGGTAGCAACTTCACTTCTTTTCTGCTGATATTTGAGTTTCATGATCCCATTAACATAATACGGAATTTGAATCAATGTTCTGCAAATTTTCTTTGATCAGGTTGCTGCCATGAGATGCCCTGAAGGTCACATGTTGGGCCTATATGAGCCTGTGTAACCATGAACACCCTCCAAGCAGATTTTCTTGATATGAATTTTTGGAACCATTAAGAGAAATCATTTTACTCCTCCTGGTTATTTATAGATCTTTGAAGTAGAATGCTTTTGTAGAGAAGATACGAAGCATTCAGAGCTTAGGAAAAGTAAAACCTTAAGCAGAAGACCTTTCTCGTCTAAGACAGTCAACATAAAGCTAGCAAAATACATCTCATTTAGATGGATGTGTCTGTAGTTTTTCGGCTTAACTGCCCATTTCTAAACATTTTAGAGGAAGCGAGTTCTCTGTCGGGAGAAACGTATCTCATATCTCCATAATTCTCATTGTTCTTGTGCTGAATCTAGAGATTGCCCCCAAAACTTAAGGATTCCAGATGCTGAGAAACATCTGATGCATTAATCTTCTCTGAGAGGGGGTCAGAAGAAACCGAAGCTACAGTCATGTCCACGAGAGGTACTAATTGCGTTACATGATGTAATTGCAGAGATTTATATATCTATTGATTCATCTTCTGTTGCTCTTTCACATGATCAAAGAAATTTGTTTCTTCGGATTCGAAACTTATTGTCCTCGTTAAAATGTGTCTATCGATGATTATCACTTGTTGTTGCAGGCCAGCGACGGGAAGATCTCTGGCGTCTCCGGGCGCGATTAGGTAAGTTTAAGTATTTCTTCTTCTGCATTTTCATGGTTTATTATGGTCGGATTGGAATTTCTCACTGGAATTGGACAAGGGGCTACTGAATTAGCGTATGAAATATAGTGTAGTTCTCATGGTTAGTTGTAGTATTCCATATCATAGTTCGTAGAAGAATACCATCATTCTTCATAGTAACAATCTTGTGCTACTACAGTGATCGTAATGCTGTTTACATAGTGTTTCAGTAATAGCTACGGGCAGTAAACGACTTACACATTTACATAGTGTTTCAGTAATACATTTACATAGTGTTTCAGTAATAGTTTGTTGGGATTCATATAGCTTTCAAATCTACTGATAGTGACGGTTTTGTTTTGTACCCAAATGGTTCTTGAAAATGACACCATATAGGAAAGCCTTTTATGAAATTATTATTATTAAGCCTTTGTAGGGGTTGACTCTGCTTTTGGACTATATGACCACAAACTTACTTCCTTGCCATATTAATATATTTATCTGAATCATCAATTTTCATTTACTATTGCAAATTTTTATGGTAGATTTATGAGGCTATTTTGATGAGTGTGCATTAAATCAAGTATACTCCAAAAATGTATATCTAGACGGTAGATTCACATGATGACATATATAATCTGTATATTTCGGGCTGATCTATTGAATTTATAAAGAAGCTGGCCATATATTCCCGTATTATTATCGAGACGAAAAACACATACATTTTGCATATATATTATATGAAGTTGGTTGATTGTTCAAAGATCCTCTTAGATTGTGATAAGTTGGAGGACCATTATGTGTATTCATTACAGAGAACAATATTTATGGACCAAATCCTAGATGTTGGACATTACCAATTCACTTTGCTGAGTGGTACTTAAGCATTTTCAAGCACTTCTGAATATTATATCACAACAAAAATCAGTGAATTACCAAGTTCAAATTCGTATTACAAGCTTGTGAAATATTCTTCTAAGGTTCCAAAATATTCTGCATGTTAGATAACATCTTATACATAGTAGCTACATATAGCTTCGTGTATATATTATATATCTAAGACCTACGGACAAGAAGGGGCATGTAAACGATATTATGGTATATAAATGGAGTTTAGGTCACCCTTGTCTACGTTAATGTTTTTAATAAGAGAGAGCAATTGAAAATTCTGTAGTGGCATATATCGGGTTGTAAATGTGGAGAATAGGAACTTATAGTGGCCCTTATCTTCAAATATAAAAGGCAGAGATAGTCTAAAGGCTATTTTTTTTTTGTGAATCAAGAATCCACAAAGAACAATACCAAATAAAAAAGAAAAGAAAAGAAAGAACCACGCTTATTATGCGCAACCAACCTTTAACCTACTCAGGTGTTTTGCTTTCCTCACACTTTATTGTAGATTGCAAGTGAGATCTCGTGATGTCACATCGTCCTGCACACACACACACACACACACACACACACATATATATATATATATATATCATAAGACCTACATTCTCCTCTTCATCATCGATCTCTCTCTCTCTTTTCAATGTGCCAATGGGGCTAAAGTCAAATGCCATAATCCACCAACGAAGAGATTCTCTGTGTCTCTCATGTTATATATTCTAATGATGTTTGCTTCGAAAAACAAATTAATTAGTTTATCTTTGAAACCCTTTTAAAAGATATTTTGATAGATCGTTTTAAAAAGGTTTCCGATTGATATTACGGTTCTTAACAACATATGTCATTGTTAGACCTAGTTTTTATTGTTTCGATTGATATGAAGCAACTTCTTAATTTACGAGAATTTTTTCAAGATTCCTTTTACCATCACTCCTACGGTCGATTGCTATGAAACATGCATGTGTATGCACATTTACATAATGCTTGTATGTTCATTAATTATCTAATTAAATCATACACAACAGCTCTTGGGAATACGCCACGTGTCAAAGGACAAAGGCAATGTTGAAAAGAATGGTGAGTAAACATGCAACACTAGAAAGGGGGAATTGGGAAAAAGATTGTTACCTATATTTGGCATACATTTGTATGCTTTAAAATAGCATATTTTGTACTTATTATATCAATATAAAAGAGAGCTTAACAAAGAAGCGTGTGTTTTTTTAATAAATGAAAAACAAAGAAGCGTGTGCGAACCATTTGTGTACACACACACACATATATATATATATACAGGTATGTGTGTATGTATTATCACATGCATGCATATATATATATATCCTCCGATCAAATGACAGATAACATTTAAAGAAATCGCCAATATCTCGAATGTAAAACCCCATATTTTACGATTGAATGAATGGTATATATCCAAGTGTATATTATACGGTAGAGAGAGATACGTGATGTGATTAGAGACATACTACAATGACATTTTTGGAATTATATATATATGATATATAAAACCTTGTTTCATTTGGCAAACTTTCAGGGGAATTTTTTTTTTTAAAAGGAATGGTCGGCCCGTCTCTCTTATTAGGAAATTAAATTCCAAATCTGACTGTTTGTCCTTATACATTATATGTGACATTAGACTATACATTAATTTCATCCATTGTGGAGAATATTTTCATCATATGATAAACTAAAGAATTAAACCACAAAGAAACGGGTAAATCGTAGCGCTAAATGATTTTCTCTGACATTTACAAATAAATTTGCAACTTTGTATCATATCAACAACGATCACAAATATATTTTACCTTTCGATTCTACGATTTTACAAAAAAAAAAAAGGATAATTGACATTTGATTTTGTCTAGCTAGTCGCATCTTCAATGCGTATTCACACTTGTCTGATGCCGGGGGCGTGAGGTACGATCTTGCCCTCCAAACAGGGAGTCCAGAGGGGTAATTACGTAATTTCAAAGGAGATCTTCTCCACGGAGCAGCAAGCAGGCATGTCTGGGAACTTGTTGCAGCAAAAAGGAGATCAAGACCCGAGGAGATGTTGTCGTTGAACCCTTGCAGGAATCTTCCTACTTTATCCCCACCCCCCATTTAGGGTTTCTTGTCAAAACCCTGAAACCCTAGTTCAGCAATATCAATCATCTTACTTAAATCACGTAGATTCATCGTAACCGAGGAAAACATCTAATAATTGGTTCATTAATTACATTATTTCTGACAAAAGAAAAATATCAAAACATCATCATATGATAATTTTACATGTGATAGAGACAAATGATCAATCAACTTCCCCAGTTCTCTTTTGCAAATCATGGGAAAGGTTTTTCTTTCCTTTAAGCTATATATATATATATACATATACACACATATACACACTCAAAGACTTCGTTTTGAAAGGTCTCCCTCTCTCGCTGAACCCTGCAAAATATCACAAGATTATACTGGTGAGTTCACGAATAACTTTAATATAACTACGTACACTTGATTAAAAAGCTATGAAAACGACTATTACACAGATACAGTCACGCAGGAGTGTGTATATACATATTTGGTTGTGTGATAGTAATTGGATATATAGATTCTGTATTTGATATGAAAACTAATGACAATAAAAGAGAAAAGAAAAGGGAGCTCCCTTCAGTCCAAGCATAGAGACGTGAAGATCCAAACTGCCTCTCGCATCATTCACTCAGTTACCAAGCTAACACCACCTTTTTCTCACTTTGG